CAGATGCTGCTTGACAGCACTGTTGCTAACACTTTCCATCACTTTACTGATGATCAAGAGTAGACTGATGGAGCAGTAATTAGCCAAATTGGATTTGTTCTATTTTCGTCTGTAAGAAATACCTGGGCAATTTTCCACATTGACAGGTAGATGCCAGTGTCGTAATTTTATTGGAAAAGCTTGGCTAGGGGAACAGCAGGTTCTGGAGCACAAGACTTCAGTACTTTTGTTGGAATGTTGTCAGAGTCCATAGCCTTTGCACCGTCCAGTGGCTCCAAACATTTCTGGATATCACGTGGAGTGCATCTAATTGGCTGAGGACTGGAACCTACGATGTAAGGGACCACAGGAGAACGCCAAGATGAATCATCCACTCCGCACTTCTAGCTGAAATACTTCACCTTTATCTTTTGCACTGACATCTTGGGCTCTGCCATAATTGAAAATGAGGATATCCTTCTCCAGTGAGTTGTTTAATTATCTACCACCACTCACGACTAGATATCATAAGACTGCAGAGCTTAGATCTGATCTGTTGACTTTGGGAGCACTTAGCTCTGTCTGTTGCTCGCTGCTTATGCTGTTTGGCATGCAAGTTGTCATGTTTGGTAGCTTCACCAGGTTGACACCTCATTTTTACATCTGCCTGGTGCTTCTTCTGGCATGCCCTCCTGAATTCTCCATTGAACCAGGGCTGATCCCTGGCTTCATGGTAACGGTTGATTGGGTAATATAGTAGGTTGTGAGGTTGCAGATTGTGCTGGAGTACAATTCTGCTACTGCTAATGGTCTACAGTGTCTTATGTGCCGAGTCTAGATCTGTTTGAAGGCTATCTCATTTAGCATGGTGATAGTGCTACACATGGAGAGTACTCTCAATGTGAAGGTAGGACTTTGTCTCCACAAGGACTATGCGGTGGTCAACCTTACCAGTACTGTCATGAACAAATGCATTTGCAGCCGACAGATTGGTAAAGCTGAGGTCAAAAATGTTTTTCCCTCTTGTAGTTTCTGCCATCACCTGTCACAGCCCCAGTCTAACAGCTATGTCCTACTGGATCATCCAGGTCGATCAATAGTGTTGCTGCCAAGCCACTATGTGTGGTGGACCTTGAAATTCCCCTACCCAGAGTACATTTTGTGCCCTTGTCACCCTCAGTGCTTCCTCTAGGTGTTGTTCAACATGAAGAAGTACTGATTCATTAGCCAAGGGAGGTTGGTACACAGTTATCAGCAGGAGGTTTCCTTACCCACGTTTAACCTGATGCCATGAGACTTCATGGGGTCTAGAATCAATGATGAGAACTCCCACGTAGTTCACTCCCAGCTGTATACCTCTGTGCTTCCATCTCTGCTGGGTCTGTCCTGCCAATGGGACAGGGCATATACAGGGATGGTGATAGTGGCATCTGGGACATAGTCATACTTATGAATTCATACCTTCGACAGGCTATTTCAAGAGGCTTAGTCAGGCTATTTCTTGGCCCTTGAGACAGCTCTCCCAATTTTGGCACTAGCCCCCAGAGGTTAGTAAGAAGGACTATGCAGGGTCAACAGGACTGTTTCTGCTGCTGTCTTTTCTGATGCCTAGCTCGATGCCAAGTGGTCTGTCCGGTTTCATTATTTGTTGAAACTTTGTTGTGATCGACACAACAGAATAGCTTGCTAGGCCATTTCAGAGGACAGTTCAGAGTCAACCACATAGCTGTGGATCTGGAGTCACACATAGGTCAGACCAGGTGAGGATGGCAGATTTCCTTCCCTGAAGGACGTTAGTGAGCCAGATGGGTTTTTCCAACAATCAACAATGGTCATCAGTAGATTCTTAATTCCAGGATTTTTTTAAAAATCTGCCATGGTGGGATTCAAACCGCAGAACATTCGCTGAGTTTCTGTATTAATAGTCTCGAGATAATACCACTAGGCCATCACTGTCCCTAATGCACAGCCACATTCTGATTTCCAGTTGTACTATAGCACAAAGTGGTATTTTGGGGGGTCTGGCAGCTAGAAATGGAGCACAAGGTTAAGGGGAGTGGAGTGCAAGTGAAGAGATCCTGATGCTGTATATAAAAGGAAGGAGCTGACGGAAATCTACAATATGCTTTGTGAAAGAGGAAAGAACTGTAAATCAAGACATTTGTGCTACATTGAAAAAATTGTTAGCACAATAGTACATTTAATGAAAAGCCAGGACTGTCATACAAACATTCAAATTAGGAGGATGAGTGAGCCATTGAGTCTGTTCCGCAATTTGATAAGGATTGTGGTCCCTGTTTCCAATCTTCTCCTATATACTGCAACATTCTTGAGAGACAAGCATCCATCTAACTTTGCCTGAAAAAATATCACCCTGCCTCCACTGCTCTGTGGGGAAGAAAGTTTCACAGACAAACAACCCTTTGATTAAAAAAAAATCCCCTCACCTCTCAGAACCCATTCTTGTATCTCATAGTTCTATACTCTTAGATAACAGTAAACATCCTTTCAGCATCTGCCCAGTCAAGTTACCTTAAGACATTAAATGCTTCAGTATGATCACTTCTTGTTCTTCTAAGCTCCAATGGGTAGAGGCCCAGGTTGCTCAAACTTTCATCCTAAGACAAATCCTTTATCCCTAGAGTCAACCAAGTGAACCTTCGCTATATGCATCTAATGCAATTATATCCTTTCTTTGATAAGGAGACCAAAACTGTACACAGGACTCTAGATGTGGCCACACTAATCTCTAAACAACTGCAGCAAGGCATCCTTATCTTTATATTTCAATCCTCTTACAATTACTGAAGTGGTCCATTTGCCTTCCTATCACTTGCTGTATCTGCATACCAACCTTTTGTGATTCATGTACCAAGACAGCCAGATCCCTCTATACCTCAGTCTTATGCAATACATCTCCACTTAAATAATGAACTATTTTTCTATTCTTCCTACGAGAACGATGTGAGTGCCCTGGAGAATGCAAGAAGATTGACAAAAATGGTTCCCAGGATGATAAACTTCAGTTATGAGGATAGATTGCAGAAGTTTGGACTTGTTCCCCTTGAAGAAAAGAAACAAGAGATCAGATAGATGTTTTCATAATCATGAGAGGTCTGGATAGAATAGACAGGGAGAAACTGTTCTTACTCGCAAAAGGATCTGGAATGAGAGAGCACAAATTTAAAGAGATTTCCAAACGTAGCAAATGTGATCCAAGAAGAAAAATTACATCTGGAATGCATTACCTGGAAGTGCAGTGGAAGCAGGGTCAACTGAGGCATTAAAGTTGGCATTGGCTGATTATTTGAATAGAAACAAGGTACAAGGTTTAAGGAAAAGGTGGGCGAATGGCACTAAGTCACATTGCTCATTGGACAGCCAGAGTAGACACAATAGACTGAATGGCCACCTTCAATTTGAAAATGGTGAAGTAACATATCCATGTGACATTGCGAGAGTAGCCCATGCAATTGAAGGAGGCTCATTTGTACCATATGGTGAGTCACCAAATTAGCTTTCATCATAAATTCCATGGCGGACAAGCTGGCCCTGTACCCCACTGTGCCGCTCTCTCACTCTTAAAATCCTGCAAATGTTTCATTTCAAACATTTATCCAATTTCATTAAGAATGCTGCAATGAATCTGCTTCCTGTTCTTTTACAAACCTATCCTAGCATAATCTACAATCTAGAAAGCAAGTCTGACTCAGGTGTTGGGTAATTTTAACTTTTAGCACAGTGAAACAAAAAAGGGGATGATAAATTAGTGGCCTGTTTCGCAGCTGAACTCATTTCTTTTTCTGGAAAAGAAAGACGTTGCAAAGTGTAAGCTGGGCTATTGATTCATCTCGCCCAACTTTGCCCTTCAACATCCTGGGCTATAATATTGACCAGAAATTGTGCAGAACCAGCCAAGTAAATACTGCAACTACAAAAGGAAGTCAGGAGCTGGGAATTCTGTGGCAAGTAACTCATGAACTCGCCAAAACACATTCATCATCTATAAAGCATAGGTTGTGGAATTCTCTCCACAAGGCTAGATAAATACAGCTCCAACAACACTCAAAAAGCTTGACACCACCTAGAACAAAACAGCCTGCTTGATCAGCATGTCATAAACCAACTCAAACATTCACTCCCTTCACCACTGCTGCACAGTGATAACAGCATGTACTGCATACAAGATTAATTGCAACACGCAAACCTCCTATGATAGCACTTTCTAAACCTCTGTCACCTGGAAGAACAAGTGCAGCAGACCCATTGGAAAATCATGACCTACAAGTTCCTATTCTACTCACTCACCATCCTGAGCGGAAGTATATCATTCACCATTGGTAAGTTAATATCCTGGCACTGCCTCCCCAACAGCACCATTGGTGTACTTACACCACATGGAATGCAATAGATCAAGGCCGCAGTTCACCACCATCTTCTCAAGGTCAACTGGGGATTCCAGAATAAATACAGTCCTTGGCAGTGATGCACACATCTTAACAAATAAACGAAACAAAACTTAGTCCCTATTATGTAACTATGGAGGATGGAAATTCATACCATTCTAATTTGTTGGTTTCATCAAATTGTAGAGATTGATTAATTTTGTTTTGTAAACTGAACAAAGCCCACATTGAAGAAATTTTCCAGTAATGAAGCTTAGGGAAGGAGATGATTACTTTCCACAAGACATCAGCAAACCAGAAGGAAAGATTTCAGTGCACAAAGACAATAAAGAAGGAATTTACATTTATATGGAACCTTTAAACATCCTCAAGCATTTTACAACCAGTGAATTACTGTTGAAGGTTTATCACAGCTGTATAATTAAACTTCCATAAAGCTTTGCAACACAAACAGCAGATGTTACTTTTCTAATTTACCTACTATGGTGGTGTTATTTGCGGGCTGAATGTTGCCCAGGTCACCGAGAAAATCTCTCACTCCCTCCTGAATAGTGCCACAGGATGTTTCACATCTGACGGTTATAGCACTCAACAGAAATATCAAAAACTCATTACCTTGCCAATTTCTTCTGTGGTAATCACTTCAATCTCTTTGTCAGTCTCTTCCAGTGGGGTTTCTCCATCTGCAAAATTGTCTTCTAATTTCTGATCTAAGTCTTCTTTTTGAAATTCATCCTGTTTATGATGAAAATATTTATTTTCTTGCATCCCTTCCATTTGATCAACATCTTGCTCCTCTTCTTCTGCGGGGTCAGAAATGTCTTCAGTTACATGATGATGAATTTCACTTTCTTCACCCAATATCTCTTCTTTATGAGGAAAATCACTCTGATAAAAAGATTTATCTTCTCCATTCTCTTCCATTTGATCAATATCTTCTACCTCTTCTTCTGCAAGGTCAGCAACTTCTTCTATCTGACGATCAATTTTACTTTCATCACCTGTTGACTGTTCGTTATGAGGAAAATCATTCTGATTAAAAGATTCATCTTCTTCATTCCCCTCTGTTTGATCTTCCAACTCTTCTTCCGAAAGGTCTGCAATTTCATTTTCTATCTGATGATCAATTTCACTTTCTTTATTTGGCGTCTGTTCTTTATGAGGAAGATTATTTTGATTAAAATATTTATCTACTTCATTCTCCTCTGTTTGATCTTCCACCTCTTCTTCTGCAAGGTCATCAATTTCTTCTTCTATCTGATGATCAATTTCACTTTCTTTACTCATCGTCTGTTCTTTATGAGGAAGATTATTCTGATTAAAATATTTGTCTTCTTGATTCTCCTCCGTTTGATCTTCCACCTCTTCTTCTGCAAGGTCAGCAATTTCTTCTTCTTCCTGATGATCAGTTTCACTTTTCTCACTGGTCTTGATTTCTCTGTGAGGAAGATCAAATCGATGAAGATTATCTTCTACATGAGAAATCTTAAGGATTTTTTCCTCATTAAATGCATCATCACAGGTTTCTTGCTCCACATTTGGAGAATTTTCATGTCCTTCATGACTACTTTGTTCATTACACAGCTCTGGTAGATCTTCCTCCTCATCAACAGTCTCTGCAGGCCTCTGAGCAAAATAAAAATTGGAGAAAACATACATAACAAGCCAATGTATTTCATCAGCATTTCTGGTCAGCAATGGATGAGACAAATAATTTTCTAATCGAGTCAAAATACTGTTGCAAATAGTGTTACAGCAGAAATCAGGGATGCATGAGGAAGTTAACAAAGGACGTGGCCTCAGCTCTCGAAATCTCAAGGCTGATTCATGGGATGAAAGGAATGTCCTGTAAGGGGGGGTTTCAGTGTAATGGCCTGTGCACTCTAGATATTAGAAAATTGAGGGATGATCTCAATGAAATATATACAATTATTTGAGGTTTCAACAGGGTAAGATGCCGAGTTACAATTTTCCTGAACTGGAAACCCTGCATCTAGGACGTTATTTCATGTGGCATCTTGCACTGAGTCAACCATACCACCCTTGTTTTACCTGCATGACCAGATCCCTCTGTGTTAATGCTGCTGCCTCTCTGAGGAATTGCCTGCTGTACTCAGCATGCAGTAACAGGCCCCATCACAGCCATTGTCTGCCTTAGATGTTGGTGCCAAACTGGCAGTTCCTTCCTAAACGGGCACCAAGCTGCTCTCCGCTTCAATTAAAAATGGAGCTGTGCACATGGCACAGTTGATGCAGTGGATGAGGACCCAGTATTAATCAGGTTGAAAGTTGCTAACCCCCGCCTCTGGAATTGTGAGCAGTCAGAGTAAGGTTTTGGGGAATCAGAACTGTACCACCGTACACTGGCAACAGTGAAGGACCAAACTACACAGTGATGGCATGAAACTAAAGTGGATACCTTGTGAAATTAACTCACCGGTGCTCCAAACAGTCTCCATGCTGGACATCAGGCACCAATATCTCAGGGCACACTCTCTAAGGTACAGCCACAGACACACACCGTGTCCATGGAGATGGGCATCCTACATGTGCCAAACTCTAAGAATCCTTATGACCCATCTCTGATTCACTTGACAGGATGATTCTGCACTTCAAGGCTGCACCAGCAATTATCACTATAATTGTATAGCAAGGACACTGTGTGCTCAGGGACACACACCCATGGCTTGAACTGGTCCAGGCTGCTGCTTGGGGCTCTTCATTTACTCTCATAAGTACTCACTCACTTTGGCCCTACGTAGACACAGTAAATCAGCCACTCAGGGAGGTCAGAGTTAGGTTGCTCTCCACAGAATGGGGTGAGGAGCTGAATGTCAGGCAGCCCACTATCCGTCCAAGTCTGTCCACCATATTGGGGGCTGCTTTCTTCCTGGAATGAGGAAGAGGCAGGTATTATGGGAGATGAACGTGGGTGGCATTGCTGTTACCTTTGTTGCAGGTGAGGCAGTGTCCCTCGTGAGTGAGTGGGAATAACACAGAGGATATGCAGAGTTCGTGGTGTCAGAGGTTGGGATGGGTGACAGCAAGTGACAGAAGATTTTGCTGGCATTGGTGAGAGCGGTTGAGCACGAGCCTTGGTGGGGGGTGCTTACAGTAGCAGAGATAGAGTGAGTGTGAGGTATCAGAGAGAAGATAGTAGCACAAACGCTGGAAGGGTGGAAAAGGTCACTGATCTTCTTCCTGCACTGCTGTGCGTTCCTGCTGTAGGATTGAGCAAAAATCCCCATCATCTAAAATACTAGCCAAGACCCTGGACTTTCCTAATATCTAAAATACTGGACAAAAGTCTGAACTCAGGCTGCAAAAAACACACACAGCCAGAATGATTTCAGTCAGGGACTATTGTTCACGCTGCATTTCCAATATAGACCTCCACTCCAAGAGAACAATTAACCAGACCTAACACTCTACACTGAAACTAACTTTTATACCTTGGGCTACCTAACACAGCAACTTCAATCAATATTCATTCACAGAAATATCAGGCATTCAACTTCAATCAGAATCCATTTACATGTACTCTTAACTATCAGGAAGCCAACTGACCTCAAAGTGGAGATAACAAGGTGTAGAGCTGGATGAACACAGCAGGCCAAGCAGCATCAGAGGAGCAGAAAGGCTGACGTTTCTGGCCTAGACCCTTTTCTGAAGAAGGGTCTAGG